TCACACTAAGGGCAGTTTGGAGTCCAACAACCTAACATGCAGGTTTTTGGACGGTGGGAGGAAGCCGGAGAACCCGGAGATAACCCACAGACACAGGAGAACATGCAGAACCACCCAGAAAGGTCCTGGTTCCCCCGGGACTCCAACCCAGAACCCTCTGGTCCTGGTTCCCCCGGGGACTCCAACCCAGAACCCTCTGGTCCTGGTTCCCCCGGGGACTAGAACCCCCCACTGCCCCCCTTTAAGCAGCTCCTCCACCTTCCTCCTGCAGGGGGCGCCAGAGAGCCATAAAGTGTGTCTCCAACCTGTTAAAAATCTAATAAATCCAGCTCTGAGCGCAAAGAAAGAGAGATTTGCTGCAGCTTTGCTCTGAGGGACGAACGGCTGAGCGGGGAGACGACCCCGTTTAGGCTCGTTTACAGAAAAACAAAATTCAATTTTATATTTCAATTAAATTTTATTTCTATAGCACCACATCACAACAACAGTTATCTCACAGACGAAGACAAACGATGTCCTAAACCTGACCCAAACCCTCCACCCTTCATAATTGTGCGAAATAAATATTATTTGGTTAACCCTTTAAAGCCTGATCCAAGAATAAAACAAAACAGAAAATTAATTGTTGTTGGTTTGAAGTCTTTATTTGGCCTTTAACAAAATATGTAAAAAGAAAAAACAGAAGTACATTTTTGATATTAATAGTTTATTACTATGCGATAGGTCAAGATTATTTTTGTGTGGTCTTCTTCCCCCTGTTATCAGGTGTATCTGATTGTGTACAACAGGATTTTGATCAAAGTTTTTACCATCAAATTATACAAAAGGTGTCAGACGCAAAACATTTCACAAACCGTGTGTATCAAATATGATACATTTGGCATTACAGGGTTAAACTTGTTTGGACTTATTGTACAAACCTATTTAACATCCACTATTTTAACATAATATTATGTATAGAGTTTAATTCAGTGTTTGCAAGATCCAGAGTTGGAGCCAGAGGCTGTTTAACCGGGTGGAAACAGGCTTTGAAACAAGGTGAGTGTGATCCACTAAACAGCAGATTTCCTCCAAACACAAACACAGATCAGACCCAGAGAAGAAAGGTGGACGGATTATCTAACCCCGACCGCCTTAAAAACCCCAGCCAGCTGAGACTGAGCCGGTTCTGGACCGAGTTCTCAGGTCTGTGTCTCCACCTGCTGGTCTGAAGGGTCCAAAAGCCTCTGACTGAGCTCAGGAACCAGAAATATGGGAGCTTTTCACCAGTCACCAGTCCCTAAAGCGAGTGGAACCAGGTGAATGGTTTGGGGCTGAGAATGAGGTTTTCCCACCCTGTAGTGGGTCAGCAAACACACCGTTTCCCTCCTTGGTTTTAATCCAGAAGAGCCTGTGTAGGCCAAAGTTTGCTGTTTTTTTGTGGGGGGCTTGTACTACAGGTATTACAGCTAATTATAGTGTGTATGGTGCTTTTATATCATTGTTGTTTCATTGTTGTATCATTGTTTAATTTCAGTGGTTCTGTGCTTATTTTATGGTTTCTACTGCGTTTCCACCTTTCATGCTACGGTAATTTTCTGATTTATTTTGATAGTTTTTTTTAAACAGAAATGAGAAGATGCACCTGATCTTTTTAAGTTAATTTTCCTCAGCATCTCATTTTTATTATATTGAACTTTATTGTTTTGTAATACAGCTGTGAGACCCTGATTTCCCTTTGGGATGAATAAAGTAATCAATCTAAGATGCCGTTTCTTTTTTTGTCCTGCTCATCTTTCCTTCTGTGTCATTTTTACCGTTATCATCAGTATCTAAAAGCATTTAAAATGATTAATTAGAAGTTTGACTCCTTCCATATTTGAAAGTTTCTCATATTAGTTTATTTCAGGAAAGAACGGCTACAGAA